GTCCCGCCTCCACCCCCACCGCCACCCCCACTCCCCACGCCGCCCCCACCTCCTCCGCCACCGCCCCCGCTAGCTCCACCCGCTCCCTTGCCCCCCTTGCTCCTGCCAGAGCGGCGCCTACCGCTGGGGGCAGACGCCGCACCGACCGACTCTAAACCAACGAGGTCGGCCGCAGTAGCAGAGGCGACAGAGGGTAACAGGGGGGAAGGAAAACACCCCTCAAAGATGGGGGTGCGCGGGTCACCACTGAGAGGCCCCTACAGCGACTATGCTCTCCTCGGCCGCTAGCAGGGACTTCTCGAGGAGGTCGACAGTGAGGGTGGTGGGACAGACAGAGAGAAACTGGTCCCTAACAGCACGAAGGGACTCAGGGAGACGGGTGACTAGAAAGTAGAGGGTGATGTACATGGGAGGGGGGTTTTCAGCGAGGAAGGCAGCAGGAAGCGCAGCTCGGTAGCGAATGTCACTAGCGCGAAGGTGGGTAACGAGGTCAGTGACTATGGGAAAGGCAGCAAGGTCAGGGAAGAGGTACGGTAGCATGAGGCGGCTCAGTATAGCAGTGGAAGGGGAGGAGTAGCGCGCAACTACAGCGTCGTACAAGGCCTGAGCGGTCTTGCACTGACTAAAGTGGGCACGCTCGGAGGAAGGGAGGTGGCGACGCACAGCAAGACGTGCAGCAGCATCTCGTGTGGCCCACTTGGAGCGAACAGCGGGGTCAGCATCAGCAGGAGGGGCAGGGACAGCGCCGGAGGCAAAGTCAAAGAGAGAGATGTCATCGACTGAATCGCACTGCAAGTACAGCTGCAGGTCCTCGACCCAGACCGCAAAGTCAATGGCGCGACCCTCAGCGTCAAAGGCCAGGACACTGGGGGTGGCCATGATAGCAGCCGACAGTCTCACCAGAGAAGAAGGGTCGAGCAGCTCAGTAGGACAGCAACACAGCAGCTCAACAACTCCGCCGGCCCAGGAGTAGCAGCAGTCCCACAGGATCCGGCTCCCGGCACCGTAGACGGATCGGGCGGCTCGGGCGGCTCGGACGGCTCGGGCGGCTCGGGCGGCTCGGGCGGCTCAGGCGGCTCGGGCGGCTCGGGCGGCTCGCGCGGCTCGGGTGACGCGGGGGGTTCACGGGCGGCGCGAGCGGCTGCACGGGCGGCTCACGGGCGGCTGCACGGGCGGCTCACGGGCGGCTGGGGCGGCTCACGGGCGGCACGGTGGGCGGCTGCACGGGCGGTTGCACGGGCGGGTGCACGGGCGGCGCACGGGCGGCTGCACGGGTGGCGCGGCGGGCTGCAGCACGGGCGGCGGGGCCGCAATGGGGGCCGTAGCGGGGCTGCAGCGGGGCCTAAGCGAGGCCGTAGCGGGGCCGTAGTGGGGCCGACGACGGGCTGTAGCGGGGCCGTAGCAGGGTCGGCGGGGCCTAGGCGGGGCCGACGGGGCCGACAGGGCCGTAGCGAGGCCGTAGCGGGGCCTAAGCGGGGCCGACGGGGCCTAAGTGGGGCCGACGGGGCCTAAGCGGGGCCGACGCGGGGCCGTAGCATGGCCTAAGCGGGGCCGACGGGGCCTAAGCGGGGCCGACGGGGCCTAAGCGGGGCCGAACGAGGGGCCGTAGCGGGGCCTAAGCGGGGCCGACGGGGCCTAAGCGGGGCCGACGCGGGGCCGTAGCGGGGCCTAAGCGGGGCCGACGGGGCCTAAGCGGGGCCGAAGCGGGGCCGTAGGGGTAAAGCGGGGCCGCGACTAAAGGGCGGCGGGATCGCGAAGGTAAGGGCGACACGCAGGGTCGCTAAAAAAAAAGAACGCACGCCTCGGGGCGCGCTTCGGTGGGCCCTAGGAACAGTCCCTAGGAGGGGACCTGCTCTGATTCCATGAGAAGAATTGAACGAGGAATGAAATGACTATGAACGAAGTGAGTACAAATAGGAAACCCTAATTGGGTTGTACCCCCTATGGGATACCCCACTATAGCCTACACAAATAAGTAAGCTATAATGCTCTGACAGCATGCACCGGCTGTTTTGCCTCAGCCTTAGCCCGCCTGCTGCTGCGTACATTGCTGCTGTGTAAACTGCTGCAGCTGATGCTTGGTCTAATGCATGATAGAGGGGAACGAGGAGAGGAAGGAGCACTGCTGCTTCTGCTGATGCTGTAGTTCCTCGCAACAGGGGATGAGGCAGGGCAAGTGGGAGAAACGAGGGTGCTGCTGCTGACTGCACGGGCACTGAGGACAGTTGGTGCCGCCTGTGAGGTTCGACGTGGTGCCGCTCGTGAGGTTACATGTGATGCTGCCTGAGGCCCCACCTCCTGTGAGCTCAGCTTCGCCTGAGGTGCCACCTCCTGCGAGTCCGGCTTTGCCTGAGGTGCCTGAGGTGTTACCATCATGCATCGGAGCACCAGGATCATCGGTGTGGAATACGCTTTACTCCTCGCAAACACCCGAGGCGGCGGCGGTGCGATATCATCAGGTGATCCTTGAATCAACTCAAAAATCCCAACCGGAGTGGAACGCGCTGCACTCCCCTCAAAGACTCCAGGCGACGGGGGTGTGGTATCCTTGGATTCTGTGCCATCTGCACGCTGCTTCCACGCTACTCCCATCTGCTTCCTAGTGCTTTCGTTGGCAGGGAAGTTTCGCCGTAAATCAAGCTCCCTCTTGCGTTGTACGCGTCTGGGTCTCGAGGAGCTCGCAGGTTGTGAGGGGAGCCCGTCTTCTGAAGATGCCTGAGATTGTAAGTCATTTGCAGCAGCCGAGTTGACTCCGGGAGGGGGTTTATTGGAAAGCGCAAGTTGGTGGCGGCGGCGGCGGAACGCGCAGGCGGCGGGTTTGTCCCCGCGGGGAGGCAAGGGGAGCAACTGGGTCTTACTAGTAGAGAGCATCTCGCAGTCAGAGGCAGAACGCGCCTGGTGGAGCGCGCACGGCGGCGGGTTTCTCGCCGCGTGGGAAGGAGCATCCCCGCGGGCAGGCGAGGGGAGCAAGTTGCGCATTCCGCACGCGCCAGAGGCAGAACAAGCGCGGCGGTGCGCAGTCTTCGGCGCGTCAACGCGGCGAAAGGAGGCGGACTGTGCGCCGGCGGGGGTGGCGCGGGGAGATTGCGCGGAGCAGGCAGAAAGCACCTTCGGCAGAAACGGCGGCGCAAACGGCGGCGGCGACGGCGCAAACGGTGGAAACGGCGCATACGGCGGAAACGGCGGAATTGGCGCTAACGATGCGGACGTGTCCGATGCCGTGGCGGCGTACATCGCGGAAAAGGCAAGTGCCAAAAAAAACTTTAAAATGGCTCGTTCGTAACTTTGCAGTTGCATTCGCCACGCAAAAAAAAAGTTGACTCGACAACAGTGGTAGCGTTAGTAACTGCAACCGTAACCTTTCCGTCACTTTCTGTCAACATAGTGTGCAGATTCCCGCATCCAGCACGCAAGTGTCCGGGCAACTTTACAAATGGCATACAGTAACCCCCCACGTAACTCACACAATCACGATAACGTTGCTCCGCCACCACCCATCGCACAAACCTCCCAGCAACCAAAACATGCGGGGACGTACAAGTGCCCACGTGTACGTCAATTACACCCGTACCTGCCACGTAAGCGTACACCGCCAAGACTTGCCGAACCTACCACAGCCGCGCGATTTCGCACCACAACACCAAATCGGCACCGTTCACATGTAATGTGCTCCACAAGTCGCCCTACAAGTTACACTTTCGCCAGCCCGCACAGTTGCATTGATTTGGGACTACTGTCCACATCCAGGCCGTCCATTTCTCGAGCGTTGAATGCCGCGCACCACTGCGAACCCGCCACGTGCAACCCACTCCGTGACTCGACACAGAACACCCACGCGCCTTCTCATAACCCGCATGTCCCACATGTCTTCATCACCCGTCATCGTACTACGTGTAACACCATCTCGCAGTGACCTCGCGTGCGTCGCCCATCCACTTGTATACGTGCATCCTCCTCGCCCAACACTCGAGCAACAACTCAAAGGCCACCACGTGTCGAAAAATATAAGTTAATATTTTCTATATGTAACTGCCTGTAGGATTGGTTACTGTAGTTATAGCGTTTTCCTATTTGGTGGTGCACCTTTCTTGTTTGTTCTTTCATATTTGTACCCTTGAACCTATAGTGAAACCCCTCATTCTCTCGACACTTTTCCTTCAACTCGAACTCAACTTCTCCTACCTCACTAGCCATGGCTCCTAAGCCTCGCTAGATTCTTAACACCACGTATCGCAGACACTATAGGGAAATCGCCCGTGCAGTCGCTTATGCGTGCGCCTACAAGCCACACGGCTCCTACGCGTTGCACCACCTCGTTCCGACCGCTCAGGGAGGATGCCCATCACCCAAAAACCACCGTCGTGCACGTGTCGCCTTGTCGCCCTATCGCACCGCTTGTAACATCGTCGCCTGCACCACACTTCCTGCTTCGTACAAATCGCGGCATCAGGAGAGGCATCCACGGTGGATAGAAACGAACCAATATTAAAACGACACGCGTCACCTATACACCTGTCACAAACGCCACCTTTTTCCAACACGCCAACTGCGTGCCGACACCTGCACTCATCATCTACCGCATATGGTGCCTCGTCAACCTTTTGCGCCAATCACGGCAACCCGCGTGTTGCTCACTGGATGGCCGGATCCGGCAATCATTGCCCGATCAGGTACTCTCCGACTACCGCGGCAACAAATGCGGCGCATTTCACGCGCGCTTCAGGTTTTTATGTTCATTTGGTGATTTCCACACTCTCATCCCCGCGCAGTAGTGTAGTACAAAAAGCACCAAACCATGTCCACTAAACCCACACAAAACAAGCATCACAATACATTTAACACAGCCGTCTACCTGCCTTCAAACACCGTATACCTAGGCGGAATTCTAGCAACCTAAAAACCCAAACACGGAACATAAATATCAAAAGCGCACACACAACCAACATCATCCCACTCCAGGGCAGGTCTATGCCCTCCATCATCCCGGCCTCCCCACTGCTCTACACGCCCCCGAGTGACACCGACTGCACATCATTCCCGGCGCCGTCTCTGCCGCTAGCGCCAGCATTAGGCTTCATGTTCTCAAGACCACAAGCAGAAAGGCGGAGGCCATGGCGTCCCCAAATCCATTCCTCCTTCTCGTCGTCGTACTCGGGATTGAAGTGATGGATGGCCTGTGAAATAGAGCCCTTCACAAGCACCTTGAGCCCGTTCACGACGTGGCCGTTCCCCCCGGCCAAGTTAGAGAGGCGGCCCATCCTCTGCTCCCAATACATGATGCTGTCGGACACCTGAAAGGAAATACACACCGCGCACGCCTTGTAAGACTACAACCATGTTCAAACTAACCACCAAAGTCATACAATGTTATTCACCACGTGCTCCAGCCACGCAAGGTGGTACACCTTCAAAGTGAGCGGCAGTGCAGCCTTCTTCGGAATGAAGGCAGCCTTTGCGCACGCCGCAAACGCGGCAGACGCAAAGGGCATCTCGTCGCGGTCGTTTGACCAGTTGCTCAGCACCAGATCTGTCGTACACACCGCGGATAGAATGGTGGGGTTTAAAGACTAAAACCACAAAAGCACCCCTCACCAATGTCTAAAAGCACCAGAACACCGCTTACCGCTCTCCTCCGCACCGAGCCCAATGCGCTCCCGAATCTGCTCCAGCGTGCGTGCGTTGTCCCTTGCTCACGGGCTTGCCTCGTCGCGCTCATCACGGAAGAATCCAAGCTTAGGGAGCGCAATGTCCCGGACCCGTCCGGCAGCCCTTGTCTTCGACTCGCTCAGCGTCTTGTTAAGGTCAGCACGGCGGGACTTGTCCGCGGCAAGCGCAAGGCACGCGAAGCTATGCGGCAGGCGGTCAATCTCTGCGCAAACACCATAAGTCTTGTTGTCAGAGCTCGGATAGAAAGTCATAGTTGCAGCCGGCTTCTTCAAGAACAGCTGCACTCGGACCAGCTTGCATAGGCGCTGCACACAAGTCAGGTACCATGGGAAATTGTGAATGAGTACAATTGTGAGGATCTAGGATCGAGCTCAGAAATGGAGTTTGAGCTGAATTGAATTGAATGATCACCTGGGTACAACACGAGGCTATATATAGGCTCGACACAAGGCCCCGTAACCAGGTGTTACGCAAAGGTTCCGCGGGTCGCGAAGCGTCCCGAACAGATCCTTACCGAATTCGGTAGAAGGCAATTCGGTGGCAACCGAAAAGCCAGACTTCGGTGCATGCAACCTAGCTCGGAAATCAAGCAATTCATGCATGCATATAATTATCCTATGTTAGAAATAGCATAATAAAGTAAAGGCAAGCAAGCATAGCTGGCATAAGCCGTCGTACTCTCACACGTCCCCCCCTCAAAGCTAGGTGGCGTGAGATACACCCTGCTTGACAAGATAGTCCTTGAGAGCACGGCGTGCATTGCCCATATCAGCTTCTGCAACCCAACTGTCCTCAGTGGGGTCGTATCCCTTCCACCGTATCAGGAACTCGAGGGTCTTGCCGCCGCGGCGCCGATGAGAGAGAACGCGCTCAATCTCGTACTCGGGTTCATCCTGCACAAGAACAGGTGGAGGTGGCGGTAGCTTCCCGTCCCTGGAACTGTTGGTTGGGGTCCTTGTAGGGTTTCAGTAGCTGCACATGGAAAGCATTGTGAAGCTTCCAAGTAGTAGGTAAGCGCAAGCGGAATGTAACTGGTGTCACCTGTGCCTCAACGAGAAAAGGACCACAGAAGCGAGGCCGGAGTTTGGATGGGAGGTGAGACAGGTTCAAGTTGCGCGTGTCAAGAAGCACCTGATCTCCGACTGCTACTGAGTGATCACGTCGCTGACGATCGGCATACTGCTTCTGGGAGTTCTGCATCGTGGTGAGACGTCGATGAGTCTTCTCCCATAGCTGCTGCATGGTGGTGACGAAGTCATGAGCGGCTTGGACGTGTGCCGGTGTAGTTGGCTGCTGTGGTGTGAGTGGTTCACGTCCGTAACACAGGAAGAAAGGAGTTTTCCCTGTGGCCGCATGTGATGCGTTGTTGTAAGCAAACTCTAGGGTTGGTAACTGTGTGTCCCAGTGGCTGACGTCGTCCTTGCAAGCTGTGCGCAGTAACTGTTCAACCACTTGATTGAGTTGCTCTGTCTGTCCGCCAGTCTGAGGGTGGTATGCTCAAGACATTGCAAGCTTTGTCCCCAACAGTCCCATGAGCTCCTTCCAGAACTTACTCGTGAATTTGGGGTCTCTGTCTGAGATTAGTGTAGCAGGGATGCCGTGGATGGTGATGATGCGGTCGAAGAAGAGGCGAGCAGTTGCTTCAGCTGTAGCTGTGGCGTTGGTCGGTATGAAGTGACCCATTTTGGAGAACTTCTTGATGACTACGAGGATGGAATCATGTCCCCGTGAGGTCAAAGGAAGTCCTGTGATGAAGTCGAGGCTAACGATCTGCCATGGCTGCTCCGGTACGGGTAGAGGCTGAAGTAACCCTGCTTTTTTCTGCTTGCTGCTCTTCATCCGCTGGCACGTGTCGCAAGAGGTGACGAACTGCTGCACGTCTGCTGCCATCCCGGGCCAGTAGTAATACTTCGCTATCCCTGCTAACGTCTTGTTGCTCCCGAAATGTCCCGCGTAAGGTACGTCGTGAAACTCCTCCAATAGGATATGCCGTAGCGGGGCGTAATTCGGTACCCAAATCTTTCCTGAACCCTTCCTTACAGCTAAGTCTTTCTCCCACTGTAACAGCTTCTTGGTCTGTGCTGTAGCAATCTCTGCGTCCACGGAGTACCCATGTTGGAATAGACCCTTGAGCAGAGGGTTCATCCTGTCGAGCTGGATGCCTGGTACATGTCTGGGGCGGCTCAACGCGTCTACCTTGTTGTGTAGCCCGGGCTTGTAGACGATGCCGTAGTGGAAGTGAGTTTCCAGGAAGTCCACCCACCGCACCTGTCGTCGTGAGAGCGTCGGCTGCGACTTCAGGTATTTGAGACTGCAGTGGTCAGTATAGACTGTAGTCTTGGCTCCCTCTAGGTAACACCTCAACGCTTGAAGGCTATGACTATCGCTAAGGCTTCCTTGTCATGGATGGGGTAGTTCAGTTCTGCTCCGTGTAGCTTCTTACTGAGGTAGGCGATGGGCTGCAAACCGCGTCCGTGATCCTACATCAGTACTGCTCCGACTTCTTGGTCGCTAGCGTCTGCTTCCACCACGTAGTCCTTGTCTGGATCCGGCAAGATGAGTACTGGCGCTGTAGTCAGTGCTGTCTGTAGCTGCTCCATGGCTTGCTGATGAGAGGTATCCCATTTGTAGGGCGTATCCTTTTTCAGTAGGTCGGTCAGTGGCGCTGCTATCTAAGCGTACTGCGGCACGAACCTGTTCTAGTAGTTGGCGAAGCCTAGGAACTGCTGCAACTCCTTCACGTTCTCCGGTACTTTCCACTTCTTGACGGCTTCGATCTTCCGCGGGTCCACGTGTACGCCCTCGGCACTCACCATGTGCCCGAGAAACTGCACCTTCTTCAGGGCGAAGTTGCTCTTCGACAGCTTCACGTAGAACTTGTTTTTCCGCAGGATCTCGAACACCTTCCGCAGATGCTCCACGTGCTCCTTCATGTTCTTGGAGTAGATGAGAATGTCGTCCAGGTACACCACCACGCACTCGTCCAGCAGGGGTCGTAAGATGTGATTCATCTCCGCCTGAAACGTTGCTGGTGCGTTGCAGAGTCCGAACGGCGTCACCAAGTATTCGTAGGAGCCGTATCTGGTACGGAATGCCGTCTTGTGGATCGAGTTGTCCGCCATCTTGATCTGCCAGTAACCCGACCGTAGGTCCAACTTCGAAAAGACTGTTGCACCACGCAGTTGGTCCAGTAGGTCGTCTATGCGCGGTATGGGGTATTTGTTTTTAAATGTCTGTTTGTTCAGTGCACGGTAGTCGATGCACATCCGTAGACTGCCGTCTGGTTTTGGAGTGAAGAGGACTGGTGCACCGTAGGGAGAGGTGGATGGGCGGATCAGTTGTCTGTCCAGTAGATACTCTATCTGTTTCTTCATGTCTGTCAGCTCGGTCGGACTCAGTCGGTATGGTGCACGTGAGACGGGTTTCGCACCTGGTTCCTCCACGATCTCGTGCTCGTGGGTGCGTGCTGGAGGTACGCCTGCAGGTAGGTCGTCGGGCATTATATCCTTGTACTGCTCCAAGACCTCCTTCACTGCTGCAGGTAGCTCGGAACACGGCTTCTCCTCCTCTGCTGCTGCCATAACCAGTGCTAAGTAACTCGTGTTACTTTCGTTCACTGTCCGTTCGAACCGTGCCAGTGTCGTTTCAGGAATGTTCCCTGTATCCGTCCAGCTTCGCAGCTCCACTCGTTTCTCGTTGTTGTAGATGCACGCCTTCCTGCTGACCCAGTCGATCTCGGGGTTGAACCGCTTCAAGAAATCTCGCCCCAAGATGAAATCTAAGCCCTTGATGTTCGTGGTCGGCAACGTCGGCTTCCACCTCAGCGCCCCTATGTGCAGCTTTAGTGATGCTTCGCCATGGATGGGAAGTTTCGTACCGTCCACCATTGTTGCCGAGAACTTGGTCTCCTCCGAAAATTCTCCAATTTTCTCCAACGTCCCGCGGTCGCACACCGAGTGGGACGCACCACTATCCACCATTGCCTGGAGGCGTCGCCCATTGCAGATCGCCTTGAGTAGTAGTGGTTTTTGCTGCTCCGGGTAACCGTAGATGGTCTCGCTTATAGGATCGTAGGGTATGTCGAATAGATCATCCCTCGGTCCTGCGCTCGAAGCTGCTGACTCCATATCAGTTTTCAACTGAGTTGGGTTAGAAGGATTTATCCGAGGCCGATTCAGCTTCATCTTGGCCTGGAACCTTCCCTTAAGCCTTTGCAGCTGTGTAGGCTTCTCCTGTTGGCAATGGGGAGCCTTAACACTATGCTGCAGGGAGAGAATATGAACTCCTTGGAACGCACGACCCTTTTCAACGCTCTGGAGTGCTTTGCCCAACTTCTCAGGTACCTGAATAATGTCTGAAGGCTTTTTCTTGGCCTTGAAATCTCCCTAGAATTTTTTAAAGGCTTGAAAACCTCGAGAGATAATATTCTTACTCTCGGGGGTGTTCGGCTGGAGTTTCCCGGTCGGTGCAGAGTCTTGTTTCGCGGAGCCTCCATTTGTCTTGGCGATTTCCCCTGTTGTCGGCCGGTCGTGGCGTTTTAAATTCGTGCCATCATGTCCTCCTTTTTTTGCCATCGTGGATGTCGCACTGTTGTTGCCTTGCAGCTCCGCTAGTACCTTCTTCAACTTCCAACACGCCAAGAGACGATGTCCTGCTGCGCCGCAAAATTCGCACTTCTCATATTTTGTCGGCCGCTGCTTCGCGTCAATCTTGTCCATATCCATCGGGTCGGCAGGTCGTGGGTGGTGCCGATCGCTTCGTGCCAAATGATCGGTTCGGCACGTGGCGTCGTATCTCGGGCTCACATCGCATTAGCGCATCGAATCTCTCTGCTGCACACACCATGTCGCGGTAGTTGTTGTAGTTTGCGGCAATCACCTGTCGGCGGACTTCCATCTTTAGCCCCTCAGTATACGCTTGGATTTTTTCCCCTTCGGTCAGGTCGATTATTCGGTTGAAGAGGCTCTCCATCTGCTGCGTGTACTGTGTTACACTGCCGAACTATTTATGCCGATGAATCTGCTGCCGCGCCATGTAGCTGGAGTTGATTGGTTCGAAACGTTGAATTAAAGCTTCCCGAAACTGCGTCCATGACCCCTCGCCTCGGATCTTATTGTTGTTGTAAATCCACTCGAGCGCTGGGCCTCGTAATAGTGTCGCTGTGAGCCGAATCCGCATTGCATCGTGTGTCGGGGTCGTACAGCCAACGGCCTCGAAGTAAATTTCGAGAGTCGCAATGAATCGACGAACGTCAGTGTCTCTCGCTTTCGGATTGAACGTCTCCGGTAGCCTCGGACGTGCCGCCTCAAGATTCACTGTAGCCGCTGCCGCTGCTGCTGGGTTAAGTGTCGGTGTCGCCGCTGCTGCTGCTGACGTCGCTGCTGCATTCGCCGCTGCGTTCGCTGCTGCTATGGCGGCTGCCAACTGGTTCGTGAGAAGCTCCTCTATTTGCTGGAGTGCCGCTCGCGTCTGGTCCAGGCCGGTGTGTAACTCCGTAATTTTCCGTACGGAATTATCACTGTTTTCCTCCATGTGGCGATTTATGGGAAGGTTTGCGACAAAAATAAATGAATTCTAGGCACCGGTCATCTTACTGTGAGTCGACTTGACTGCAGAAACGACGAGGGCTGATTCTGTAGGTCGCGTTATTCTCCCTTAGTTGAAATTCGCGTCTGATCTCGGCCGTTGAGAAGAAAGTTGATCCGACGCTCCAAATTCCAACCGTTTTGGTCGAAATTCCCAGGGCCGTTGAGATTCGAATCGATCTGACGGTCGAAATTCCAAATTTTTCGCCACTGGACCTGAGGAGTGTTCGAAAACCGGTTCGAGGGGGACGTTAGAAAATAGCGCGGAACTGGTTTACGTACCCGATATCGGCGCTTTCCGTTGTCGCCCCCGCGGTTTTAAAAGCTAGGTTTAAGCGGTCGAAAAACTTCGCTTGCAAACAGGCTCTGATTACCAAGTGTGAGGATCTAGGATCGAGCTCAGAAATGGAGTTTGAATTGAATTGAATTGAATGATCACCTAGGTACAACACGAGGCTATATATAGGCTCGACACAAGGCCCCGTAACCAGGTGTTACGCGAAGGTTCCGCGGGTCGCGAAGCGTCCCGATTAGATCCTTACCGAATTCAGTAGGAGGCAATTCGGTGGCAACCTAAAAGCCAGAATTCGGTGCACGCAACCTAGCTCGGTGCTATAACTATAATAAAATATAGGAAAGCACCTAGCCTAGGAAATCAAGCAATTCATGCATGCATATAATTATCCTATGCTAGAAATAGCATAATAAAGTAAAGGCAAGCAAGCATAGCTGGCATAAGCCGTCGTACTCTCACAACAATGCTCCACAACAGTCCATCCGCACGGCAGAAAGCGCACGCTCCGAAAGTAATGTTACACGTTCGGTAGCACATCCCACCTTCCAAGCCTTGTCGGCCGGCAGCAGATCAAGTGCGCGCTGAAGAACAGGCGACTTCGCAGAGCGCATGTGCTTCCGACGCGTGCGAATCTGTGCCATGTCCTCGTAGTCGTCGTCCTCCTTCCTCATCGTCATCCTCCTCAACGTCTGGCACTGCCTCGCCGCGACGCTGGCGCTTTGGGTTCATGCATCCCTGCCCGGGATCCATCTGCCGCTCTGCCTTGCGCCGACGGGTCCCCCCATCGGACTTCGCCAACGCCTCCAAAAGCAGAGTTTCCAAGCGGGCCACCTTCTGTGCGCTCTCGTCCTGCGACTTAAGCATGCTCTTGAATACTCCCGCGGAAACGCGCACCTCCTCGCCATGCGTGTCTACAGCATCGTTCTCGCGGTACGCGTTGGTTTTGAACATCGTGCGCATCGCGTCACCCACATCCTCGTCATCCTCCTCTTCGGATGCGTTTATATTGCTCACGATGTGAGCTTGTTCGCCCCCTTCTACGTCCTCGCCTCGATTCCGGTTCGCCAGACGAGGAGCAGCGTCGCTCTTGGAACACGAATTGGGCGAGTCACTCACCAGCGCTTGTTTGCCGACCCTGCCAGGAGAAGCGTCTGATGTCTCACCCCCAGTATTATCTATAGACGTGGGAATGTAGGCGGAGGAGACAATTAAATCCGGGCAACACAAGCTCTAAGGCGGAAGTAGGGGGAAAGACAACACTTTCTTAATCAAAACGGCCACAAAACGCTAAAGCAGCGTCATACATTTCGTGCAACCAGCACATCAAACCGTCATTACCGTCACGAATTGCTTTCCCGCCAGCATCCGCTCTGGTAATGGCCAAACGCTTTGGCAAGGCCGTTCCAAGAGCCCCCCTTGGCATGCGCCCACGAGGAGTTGCAAGCTGATATGCCGCGCGCAGGTACGCCGGGGGCTGGGATACTCGCCGTGCACGCCCCGCGTTGCCAGTATCTTCAGAAGCAACGGAAGTCTCCATTGTTAACGACTGACATTGTTTGCGTGCACGGCACGCAAGCCTAAGTACTCGGATTGACCTTGCAAAGTATACGGTAACGCGTAAACCTTGCTCAACAACGTCCACAACCATCGAGCGAAACCGTTGCCGCCCATCAGTATAAACGCAATCACCGACATCCACTGGAAAACGACCTCCTCGATTTCTGTAATCTTGGTTAGCGAATACGATTCATCCACTGATCACCGTCAACTTTCATCCGACCACCCGTACTCTCGATACCATTTACGAGTCCCTGCTACAATATTTCCTTCTCTTGCTAGCTATTTTATACCAATTAAACATTCAACAGAGGAAACAACGCAGTATCAAACTATTAATGACACACTACATTTAAAGTACAAACCACACATGCGTACATGCATCCTCCAGGGAAGCCTTCTCTAACCCATGATCCACTCTCGTTTCCCACTGATATCCCAAGCACCATCCTTCTGCCTCCCACGACCAGTTTCATCTGTCTTGTCCTCGAAGGACTTTGCCTCTGCACCGCGGGCCATCTTACGCGCCCTGCTGTTTTCTGCTTCGCGGGCAACGATTACGGTGTCCTCACTGCCAGCCTTCTCGCCTTCACCCTCCCCTGCCGTGCCCCCACCCTGATCACCACTCCCCTTGCGGGGTCTCCCCCTCTTTGCACGCGTTGCATTCTTCTTTGTGCGCGCTGCCTTCCGCATCAGACCTTCGTAATTCTCCCTCCATACCCTCCAGCGCCACCACATGCGGGCATCCACCATGACTTTCAGGATTTCGGGAGTGCACCCCTTCAAAGCTGCCTTATCAGCCGGTGTTAAAGCCACAAAGTTCCGGGTGCCTTTACCAGGCCTCAGCACGTGGGCAGCTGCCGCGTAGCAATACGCTGCCTCCTCTATCGTGGTGTACGCGCCGACTCTCTTCGTTATCTTCTTCCCCTCCTTGTCCTTTGCGACGACCTTCACCCCATACTTGCCTGTATCGGCCTCCACATAGACCCCTGTGTACTTGGTCGGCTTTGTTCCTGGCTCGTTCTCGCCCTCTCCATCTTCCTCCGAATCCTCTCCTCCCGCCAATGTCTTCTGCTTAGGTACAGCTATGAAGCCGGGGTGTGCGCCCGCACCGCTCTGCGCCATCCCGTACACCGAATAGGATGGCTGGACTAGTGAAACCGCAGCTGCCTGCTGCCGTGACAACAGCCAGTGTGGAACCGTCCTGGGGATTGGCAGAGGTGCCGGGAAACAGGGGTACGCACCAACGGCCGACGCGAATTTGCTGTCGCACCGGCTTCGCGCTTTAACGAGCACACCTCCGCCTCGAGCTGGTCTATACGATGTTCTTCTTTCTCACGTCCTTCCGTCGCACCCTCCCTCAAAGTCGTGTTGGTGGTCAAGCCGCTTTGCTGAGAAGGAACATCCAAGCCATCCTCCTCTAGCTTCCGGAGCAACTCTCCCATAGCGTGTGCGCATAAATCAGCACGCATGATGCGGCGGTACTGCAGCGCGCTGACCCCCTTGAACCACAGGCCATTCTTCACGTCGGCGAAGTCGGAGTAGACCAAAGTTTTCAAGTAGTGGCAAATAAAGACTCCACAGTCATGACCGTTCTCTTGCGTGGGGATGTGGTTCTCCTACGCGCAAAGAAACCGCACACCTGGTGGTCACTTCTCACATTTGTGTAACAACATCTGTCCACCAAAAAAACCAGGAAAGTCACACTTACGGTGAGGACATGGCAGGGAAAGTCCTTCAGCAGCTGTTCAAAGTTCGCCATGTCTACATGTGGATGAGTCTCCCTGACCATGGTTGACAACACCCTGCGGAACATCTCGGAGAACACAACCCGGTTACAGCCACGCATGTGCAAATAACAACTGAAGTACCACTACTAAAGCAAACACGTATACCTTCACGCCACTGAAAACCTTCTGTGTACTCATGGGGGCCCTGGAGCTGTCGAACAACACCATTTCCAGCGGCGGGCTATCCTTCCTTGTCCTCTTATCCACCAGCCGGTGGGGTGATATGACTATCACCATTGAGTAGTGCTCTCTGCAGGGAGGCATGCAGTAGGAAAGGACGGTGTTTAGTCACGCGCATAAAGAATGCATGCACCCTACGGCTATTGTTGAACAAGTCAAGTGGCTCGATAATTACCACCTATAGACAGGGACCGCAAGGTAGTCGTGCTCAAGGAGCGGCAGGCCGTTTCTAGCATTGTCTGGCGTGTTGTGAGCAGTTGTGTTCGCGAAAGTGTTGCAATCGAGCGCGGCCCATGTCTTCCCGTTTGACAGCTTCGACACACGGATGCTTAGAAGCCTGAAAGCACATGACGGACACGTGGGTGTTTTGGTGGAATAGGGGGCCATCAGATCATGCTGATGCAAAGTCTATCACCACATACACGATGCGCAGGTAGCGCGTCGGCAGCGTTACTCACACGTTGTGAAAGTCGACCACTCCTGTTAGTAGATCTGCACTGTGGATGCCCGATTGATCCTGAAGAGGGTTACAGGCGCGTTCGTCTGGGGGGTTATGGGCGCATTGACCCGCTACTGAAACAAGCCCTTTTATCCCAATGGTCTAGTGGTTGGGATTCTGACATGGTATCAGAGCGGTCTCGGGTTCGATTCCCGGTGTATGCACATGTAGGCCGTTGCCGCTGTGCTTAGTCCTGGGCCTCCCAGTGTGGGGGGGTGTCAGTAGATCTGCACTGTGGATGCCCGATTGATCCTGGAGAGGGTTATAGGCGCGTTCGTCTGGGGGGTTATGGGCGCACTGACCCACTACTCAAACAAGCCCTTTTATCCCAATGGTCTAGTGGTTGGGATTCTGACAACTCCGTCTTGTCAGAATGTTATTATCTAGCCTGTAGTGGGGTGCTCTATAGCGGGTACAACCCAGTTAGGGTTTGCTATATGTATCCCAACTGCAGCTAGTGAAACCCCTCCTTTCTTCATTCCTCGTTCTTTCACATGGTTTCAGAGCAGGTCGACCCCCTTGGGTCCATCCTGTGGGTGGGCCCACCACCTAACTGCTTCCGCTGCTACTCTGTCTGTTGCACGCCCCGTGGTGTGCGACGCCTTCTTCCTGCCGCCGTGCGCCCCGAGGCGCGCGGCGATTTCCTACCGTGGGGGACCCGCGCGCAGCCCCCCGCCCTTCCCGTCGCGTCGCCCTGTAGGCCGTGCGCGGGCCTGCAGGCCGCGCGCGACCCGTCTGCCCGTCGCGCGGCCTTGGGGACTCGTGCGCGGCCCCCGCCCTGCTCGTCGCGGCGCCCTGGGGAGCACGCGCGGCCCCCGCCCTTCTTGTCGCGGCGCCCTGGGGAGTCGCGCGCGCCCCTTGCCCGTCCGTCGCGGCGCCCTGGGGAGCCGCGCGCGCCCCCTCGCCCGTCCGTTTTGGCACCCTGAGGAGAGACGCGCGGCCCCTCCTGTACCGTCCCCCCCCCCCCCCCCGTGCTGCCCATTCCTCCCGTGCCGCCGTGCGTTCCGCGGTGGTGGGGGGGGGTGGGGTGGCGAGCATGGGGGTGCGCGGTGTGGGTACTCCCCTTCCCTCTCCCCACCTCCTTGTTCGTCTCCCACTGCTGCAGCTACTGCTGAGGGGGGTGGAGGTGTGGGAGCCGAGGGGAATGGCGCTAGGGGGGTGACGTGGGAGTGGAGTTAGGGGTTCAGCAAGGGGTGTGTGTCAAGGGTGTGGGTTGAGAAGAAACAAGAATGAATGAACTATGAATGAACTGAGTACAAGTACTAACCCTAATTGGGTTGTACCCCTTATGGGCTACCCCACTATAGCCTACACAATAAGCACAAGCTATATGTTCTGACACACCCCTATAGGCAAAGTGGGGGAGAACAAGGGGTCACAAGACCAGTCAAGCAAAGCAAAGCAAAGCAAGCTCAGGGTGGATCACAAAGTCACCACACATTCTGAGCACAAGTTCAAGGCCACAAGGCCAGTTCACATGCAGGAGTACATATATATAAAGGACTAGACAAGCAAGAGCAGGTGCATATATATGCAACAGTACAAGCAAGGTCAAGAGGTGAGCAAGTGAGGCAAGACAGGCACAAGACCCAGCTGCGTGCAGAAGCGCTGATGATCACAAGGCGCAAGTGCCTTGGTGAAGACATCAGCAGTGTTGGCCTCAGAGGCCACGTACGCAAGCCGCAACTGACCACGCTGCTGTAGCTCACGAGCAAGGAAGTAGCGAAGAGCAATGTGCTTTGTTCTGTGCTCCAGTCTCTGCTCTCGACACAAGGCCAGCATGGCCTTGTTGTCTACGTACAGGACTGTTGGAATCACTGAACAGGAATGAATGAACTAGCAGTGAAATGAGTACAAGTACCTAACCCTAGAATTGTGTACCCCCTATAGGCTAACCCACTGTAGCCTAAACTAACACAACATATATAATGTTTGACACACCCCCATAGGCAAAGTGGGGGAGAACTAGGGGTCACAAGACCAGTCAAGGCAAAGCAAGGCAAAACAAGCTCAGGGTGGATCTCAAGGATACCACACAAATTCCGAGCACAAGCAAGTGGTCACAAGACCAGTTCACATGCAGGTTTATAATAGAGCAAAAGGTACAATGATCACAACCTAACAAGAGTAAACATGCAGGTATATATATAGAGATCACAGTACAAACAGACTCAAGAAGTAAGCAAGTGAGGTCCAGAAGGCACAAGGCCTAGAAGAGTGCAAAAGCGCTGATGGTCACAAGGCTGAAGCGCCTTGGTGAACACATCAGCAGTGTTGGCCTCAGAGGCCACGTAACGCAGGCGAAGCTGACCACGCTGCTGCAGCTCTCGAGCAAGGAAGTAACGCAGAGCAATGTGCTTCGTTCTGTGCTCTAGTCTGTGCTCCTCACACAAGGCAATGGCTGCCTTGTTGTCGACGTACAGCACTGGAGGAGAACGAGGCTGCTCTCCAAGGTCGGTCAGAAGTAGGTGAGCCAGCGTAGCTCCTGGGCCGCCATGGCTGTGGCGTAGATCTTTGCCTCACAACTGGAGCTGAGAACAGAAGAAGAGCGAGTAGAACGCCAAGAAATAGAACCAGAGCCAAGACTGAAGGAGTAACCCTGAGACGACCGCTGAGTAGCCTGGTCGTCTGCCCAAGAAGCGTCTGAGTGCCCAGTGAGAACAACTGGGACTCGCCCTCCAAGCACTAGCCCCATGCCCGACGTACTGCACAAGTAGCGCAAAAAACTCTTAGCTGCATCCATGTGCTCCTTCCGGTGACGGCCGGGAGCGACATAGCGTGCAAGAATGCTAAGAGGGTATGCAAGGTCTGGTCGAGTGCAGGTCATCAGGTACATGAGGCAACCCACAAGCTCTGGATACGGGCCACTCGGCTCTACGGGCTCATACGAAGGCAGAGCTGAGAGCGAGTGACCGGTAGGCAGAGGAGTGGGCTGAGGCGAGGAGTACGTGAAGCGGAAGCGCTGAAGGACCTGCTGCACCATGTGTGACTGAGTCAAGGTGATGGTGCGGCGTGCTCTGTCCCGGGTGATCCGCAAGCCAAGATAGCTTGTCAGTTCACCCAGGTCTGTGCACGTGTGTCTCTTCTGCAGCTCCGACTTCACGTGGGCGAGTGCCGCAGTGTCAGCAGTAGCAAAGACCAAGTCGTCGACATACACAAGGACGTAGAACGGCGGCAATGAGGTGTCGGTGCGTAGAAACAGCGACGGGTCAGCAGTAGAAGGCGCGAACCCAAGAGCCGCAAGCGTAGTCCTCAGTGTGTCGTGCCACTCACGAGGCGCCTGGCGGAGACCGTAGACTGGCCGTCGGAGGCTCCACTGGGTACCAGGAGGGAACGACCCAGTGAAGCCAGGTGGACGGCGCAGCCAGATCTCCTCGTGCAGGCTGCCCTGCAGGAAAGCAGTGCTGAAGTCAAGCGAGTGGAGCTCGTAGTCACGCTGAGCGGCGACGTGCAGCAAAACCCGAAGAGTGGTCATCTTCGGGGTCGGGGAGAAGGTCTGGAAGAAGTCAACTCCCTCTCGCTGACTGAAGCCTCGTGCAACGTAACGCGCCTTGAAGACAGGCGGAGAGCCCGGCGGCCGCTTCACCCTGAAAATCCACATGCCACTGACGATGTTCGCCCCAGGTGGGGGAACCTCGTCGACGTAGTTGCCTGTGGACTTCCAGGAAGCCATCTCCGTGTCCATGGCTGACTGCCACTGAAAGGAGTAGGGACCGGCCATCGCCTCTGTGTAAGAGCGTGGGGTCGGGATGTCTGGTGCATCCGGGTCTCCCTCAGGGGCAACAAGCATGGACACGAGATGGGGCAAAGCGGCAGCAAAGCACTCAAACTCCTCCTGCCTGTCCTCAAGGACGTCAATGCCAAGAGCACACTCACCCCCGACGGACGGAGGACAGACAGACTCAGACTCAGCAACTACGCTAGCAGCGTAGTCTAGACAACAGCGAGCAGCAAAGTCGACAAGCTCAGCAACTAAGGCAGACGCAGCAGTAGACTCAAAGGA